ACATTTACAGTTGTATTTATTTGTATTAAATCATACACTCCACAGCTAACTGTTGAGATAGACCTTTTCCACAATTCTTCATATCTGCTTTTCAGGATAACCCATCCTTTAAGATATGTTTATAAAGAGAGAGTCCCTGGCTACTCCTGCATATAAGCAGAATAAATTCTGCCTAACTGAATAAATTAGCTCTCTTAGTCCATTTTGTATTGCTATAAAAGAATACCTGAGATTGACTACTTTATAATGAACAGAAATTTATTGACTCACAGTTCTGTAGGCTGGAAGTCCAATATCAAGGTGCTGGCACCTTGTGAGGGCCTTCTTGCTGTGTCATAATGTGGTGGAAGGCATTGCATGACAGAAGGACAAAGAAAGGGCAAGAAAGAGAGCAAGATAGGGCAAAACCCGCTCTCACAATAATGGCATTAGTCCGTACATGAGGTAAGAGACTTCATGACCTAGACGCCTCTTAAAGGTCATACCTCCCAATATCGTCACAACAGCAATTACATTTTCACATGAGTTTTGGAAGAGACAAACACACAACCATAGCTGTCTGCTCCTGGCCCTCGAAACTTATGTTCTTCTCACATACAAAATACATTCATTCCATGCCATTAGCTCGAAAAATCTTAGCTCATTGCAACATCACTTGTAAGTCTAAAGTCCAGAGTTTCATCTAAATTAGATATGGGTGAGACTCAAGACACTGAAACCACCTCTGCAGAAGTCGTCACAGTGAGAAAATTATGACAGTGAAAGAGATCTGACCTAACCGACTCCATCTTGCCTTTAACCTCCAAGCTGCCCTTGTTCATTCCTAAGCATTGGCCAAACTAACTTCGGGAGGAATTTAGTTTATACTTAAACTTCAAAACAAAGATGATAACAGCTCCTTCCCAAAACAAACCCTCTCCTGGTCTCAAGACCAGATTGTGTTTATAAAACTAACAAATTAGCCACAATATTAAAAATTATGCAGTCTGAGGCCACAAGATCATTAACCTCCCCAATTGTTCCTATAGCTAACATTAATATTAGAAAACCTGACATTGGTGTTTGAGGTAGTTTTCAGACCCTGGGTCGTGATGGATCAGCTGGCTTCACCCAGATCAGTAAACTTGCTCTTCTGGTCTTGCGGTCCTTACCCAGTAACAGATTCAGCACAAGAGGACAGCTTGACTCCTGGTGATTTAATCCCCGACCCAACAAGTCAGCATTCCGCTTTGCTAGCCCCCTGCCCACCAAACTATCTTTTAAAAACCCTAGCCTTCAAATTTTCAGAAAGGCTGATTTGACTAATAAGAAAACTCCTATCTCCCATTTAGCTGACTCTACATGCATTAAATTCTTTATAGCAATTTCCCTGTCTTAATAAATCGGCTGTATCTGGGAAGCAGGTGAGAAGAAACTGTTTTGGGGTGGTTATAGCACTATTTATCCTGAGGCAAAATTACCTCCAGCTGTGAGCCTGTAAAATCAAGTAAGTCTTATATTTCCAAATTGCAATGGTGGAGGAGGCATAAGATAGACATTCCCATTCCAAATAAATAAACAAATAAATAAATAAGCAACAACAAAAAAAGATAACTGGTCTCAAGTAAGTGCAAATATTAACAGGACAAACAGCATTAAATCTTAAGGTTCCAGAATAATCTTCATTGACTCCATGTCCCACCACCAAGACACATTGAACCCCCAAGGGCTCATGAAGCCCAGCCCCCAAAGCTTTGCAGGGTGCACTCATGCAGCAGCTCTCCCAAGCTGGAGTTGGATGCTGGTAGCTCTACGGTTCTGGGGTCTTAGAGGTAACCCCACCATTGTGACTACACTAGGCATTGCCCTAGTGGGAACTCTGTGATGACTCCATCTCTGTGGCAGGTTTCTTCCTGGGCCCTCAGGCTGTCTGACACGTCTTTTAAAATCTAGGTGGAGGCAGCTATTTTCCCACAGCTTGCAAGCTCTGTGAACCTGCAGAATTAGCACCATGTGGACACTGCAAAGGTTTACAGCTTGTGCCCTCTGGAGTGGCAAACCAAAGCACACCTGACCCTGCTTGAGCCACAGCTGGTACTGCTGAGGAGCACTGCACTGGAATGCCAGGAGTAAAGTCTAAAGGTGACACTGGGCAGTGAGCCTGTGTAGGACATCCCAACACTTCCCTGAAAACCATTTTGCCCCCTGGGAGCTCTAGTTCTATGACTTTATTTTATTATATCGATAGAGTCTATCAATATATATATGCTATATCGATATATGATATAATACCATGCTGAACACAGAAAACCATTTCCTGATTATAATATGATTCAAAGAAGAATTTAAATCACAATTTGAAATATAATTCTAAAATGAGAAAAAAGAACTAAATCTCATCTACAAAATGTGTTCAGAGAACAACACGTATGAAGACACGGTCACCTATTAGTTCCCTTCAGTTATCAAACAAAAATTCTTGTATTTACTTTGAAAGTATAATACAATACATAATTCAGGATGAAATAGAAGATTCCATGGCTAATAAAAATGTTCTATGGGTGGTATTTATTTACAGTCATGACTGAGTTTAAACATTCATTTAACTAGATAATTTATCGTTCAGTTAGGATTTTATTTATTTAACATTTATTAAGATATTAATGTGTCAGGCACTTTTAAATGCTTAAATACACTTAAATAGATAACTCAATGTATGTAAAAAATAGTAAAACAAGGTTAATAAGGAAGTTTTAAAAGAAAGGCAGTAAGGGAAAAACAAAAGCCATGATGGAGGAATGGCAGAGAAAATAGAACTTTTATTAACAAGGTAACTTTATAACAACTTTGTATTTAATTAATTAATTTATTTATTTATTAGTTTTTGAGACAGGGTCTAGCTCTGTCACCCAGGCTGGAGTAGAGTGGTGCAATCACGGCTCACTGCAGCCTCATCTCAGGCTCAAGCGATGATCCTCCCACCTCAGCTTCCCAAGTAGCTGACACTGCAGGCATGTGCCACCATGCTTGGCAAATTAAATTTCTTTTTTTTTTTTTTTTTGTAGAGACGGGGTCTCTCTTTTTTCCTAGGCTGGACTCGAACTCCTGGGTGGGCTCAAGTGATTCTCCCTCCTATGTCTCCCAAAGTTCTGGAATTACAGGTGTAAGCCGCCACGCTTGACCACAGAATAATGCCTTTATAACAACTTTTTAAAATTATTATTTTTTTTATTTTTTATTTTGAGATGGAGTCCCTCTCTGTCGCCCAGGCTGGAGTGCAGTGGCACCATCTCAGCTCACTGCAACCTCTGACTCCCTGGTTCAAGCGATTCTCCTGCCTCAGCCTCCCAACTGGCTGGGATTACAGGCACGCACCACCACGCCCAGCTGCCCAGCTAATTTTTGCATTTTTAGTAGAGACGGGGTTTCACCGTGTTGGCGAGGTTGGTCTCGATTTCCTGACCTCGTGATCCGCCCGCCTCGGCCTCCCAAAGTGCTGGGATTACAGGCGTGAGCCACCGTGACCGTCCTATAACAACGTTTATAGTTTCTGCAAAGCGTATTTATTATACCACTGTTTACGATTTCTACATAATAGTATTCAGTTAAAAAAAATAAAATATTGCAATATAACTTTCTATAATTGAAAAAATGCTTTGATAAATTTCTCCTTTATTTGAGTTTTTCCAAGAATTGTAACAGAAGGCAGTTTATTTGTCCCCTTTGAAGATTATTTCCTTGATTGGAAAAACAGGAGCTTCTGCGGAAAATCTATAGTGGTGACCTTGGCTGTTACTGATTGAAAGACCACTAGAGGGCACTCAAAACACGTGCTCTGGTGATGTGCTTTCTAAGTCATACAACGGGTGTATTCACTGTCAAGTCCTAACCACAAGAAAAGAAGAAAAAGATTTCTAACTAAAATTGCTTTAACATTTGACTTAATGTTAAAGCAATTGAATCTGTTTGAAAGAACAAAGTACGAAAAAAATTTTGTTGTATAAATAAAAAAAGGCTCCACTTGAAAAAAAAATTTCATTTGGAGCATTTATGCAAATAGGGATACTAGGTAAATTTTTATATCTGTGATATCAATAGTAGAATAATAACCATAATGGAATGATCACAGGACTTAGAATCAGAATAATAATGATAGATATCATTCATGAGTGCTTAAGAGGCACTACATGTTATCCCACAGACTTTATATATAATGCTTTATATAATTCACTTACACACACATGCACACATATAAAATGTGTGACTCAAAAATATTGTCAGAAGGGATAATGCAGAGGACTAAGGAATGGAAGGCCTTTAAAGTGATCACCAGACACTATGTTGCTAATTGCGTTTTTATAGAAAGTTGTCAGCTCTATAAATTCATATGAACTATGTTAAAACACCACCATTAGAACACCAATAGAAAACTTGTTGCTATCTAAAATGGCATTTTTCTTGTAAATAACCTTTTACCAAATAGTAAGATGTACTATGTAGTTATTTATGTCTGCCCTTTGTTTAAATTTTTAGCCACCAAGAAGTAAAACTTTGAGTTTTAAAGCTAAAGATTCCAAAATAGATCATGGTAAGACTGGAAACCGATGGAAAAATGTTCACTAAGTTTCCAAATCATAGTTTTTAGTTCAAGTCAGTCATTCTACATTAGTTAGAAATATTGGTTGGTTGTTGGTTCATTCCTGTAATCCCACCACTTTGAGAGGCCGAGGCGAGTGAATCACTTGAGGTCAGGAGTTTAAGACTAGACTGGCCAATATGGTGAAACCCCATCTCTACTAAAAATACAAAAATTAACCAGGTGTGGTGGTGCACGTCTGTTATCCCAGCTACTTGGGAGGCTGAGGCAGGAGAATCATTTGAACCTGGGAGGCGGAGGTTGCAATGAGCCAAGGAGTTCACACCATTGTACTCCAGCCTGGGCAACACAGTGAGACTCTGTCTCAAAAAAAAAAAAAAAAAAAAGAGGAAGGAAGGAAGAAAGAAAAAGAAAGAAAGAAGAAATAAAGAAAACGGAAAGAAAGAAAGAAAGAGAAAAGTTAATTCATGAAAAGGTTTATGGTCAACATTACCTTATTCTGTGGCCCATGAAATAATGCTAAGAATACTCAACCTGTCACTGTCTCTATTGTTGTGAGGCCTCACAACTGCCAAATTTTATCCCCACTTTATTCATGAGAAAACCAAGGTTCAGAGAGTTTAAGTCTCTTAAAAGTAACAAGTATAATGGGTTCAAGTACTTATTAAATGTTATCCTTCATATACTTTCCCTTTTGGCTCAGAGGCATAGAATTTCATTGTTCTTATTCATTAAAAATCTTCTTGTTATTTTGTTGTGCAATCTTATAAAACTCTTTACACATTCATCCCTCCCCTTAATGGTTAATATTATATTTAAAGCATTTTTTCCCATGATAGCTATGGTTCAGGAAAACTGTACAACATTCACATAACAAACTGAATTGTTAGTAAGGCAAGAAGGCTCTGTTAAATAAAGGCAGCAAAAAGTGAACAGATGATTAAATCAGTGTGCTGACATTGTGATTTTTGTTCTTGTTTCTTAGAGGCATGGTTCAGAGGGCATTCTTGCAGGAGAACATCTCTGCTAGCCCAAAATGTAAGAGTTGAGTCTCATCAAATAAAAATGTGAGAACTGTTGAAACTGTATTAATATATGCTTCTCATTTGAGGTAAATCCTCTTAATCCCAGATTCCTCACTATAGTCTAGAAAATCATAGTTCTGAAGCCTTAGGCTTTTGCTACCTCTAAGCTATGGTAGATATCTAAACTAAAAGATCCTGTTGAGAAAAATATTGAGTTTTATGGACTCCCTAATGCTTGACACAGCAAATAAATAAATAAATAAATAAATAAATAAAATGCTCTAGAAAAATGTATAGAGAGTAATTTGCAGAAAAGTTGTCAACATTGATGAGGGTGGTTAGGCTTGCCTCTTCAAAGAGATGACTTTTAAACAAAGTTCTAAATGAAGAGAAGGAGACACCCCAAATAACACCTAAGAGGTAGGTTTTCTAGGCCTAGGATCATTAAGTTACAGCAAAAGCTCAAAAAAGGGAGTGAGCATTGGGTGTTTGAGGAATAAAAAGAACGTCTTTGTGGATGAAGCCAAGCAAATAAGAAGAAGAATTCAAAGAGATAAAGTCCTAATGGATGAGGCCAAATCCTGTAGGACCTTGCAAGACGTGATAAGGAATTTTGTTTTTAACCTGATTACTATGCAAGCCATTGGAAGAAAATGATATAATTTGATGTCAATTTGGAGACATTATTCTGACTGCAAATGAACTATTTTAACTAAGAGTAGAAACAAAGAGACTACCTGGAAGGTTCACATGCAGTCCAGGGAAAGATTGGAGGAAGTTATTAGTGAGAGACTGCTGGATTTGGCATATATTTTGCAGCTAATGAACAAGAAGTTGAGTATAAGAACTTGAGAGGAATCAAGTATCAATGCCAAGGTTGAGCCAAAGCTACTCAGTTGATGGTGATGCGATTTGCTTACCTGGAAAAGAGTGACAGGAGAAGACACTTACTGTGTAAAGCGTGGATTGTACCTTATCGATCCACTTTAATATCACTACCCTGAATTCAATTGCTTCCTTGTAAATATTTGTTGATATTCCTTACTAACACATCACTGGTGTATACAAAATACAAATATATATTAGATGTGTCCATCATATAGAGTATAAAGCAGTAACAGAGTAAACAGCAAATTCATATTTTGCTAATATTGATAACATTTGTGAGACACATCCAGATTCAAAATTACCTGAAAATAAAATATAATATCATTTAAAGACTCAAAATAAACTTTAATGACTGTATCAATTAGAAAATAGTTTACTGATGACAGAAAAATAGAGGAGGGGTAATTCTTAGTTTTTAAAAATGGAGAAAGTTGGCCTAAAGCACAAAATAACAATGTTAATGATATTGGACAGAATCTCTCAATTTATAAAGAGTAAAAAAAAAAAAAAAAAGGTAAAATGATCAGATGTATGTACAAAGACTTGAGGAAGAAGAACAGACATGTTAGAAAAAATTATAACAAACACAAGAGTAGAAATAATTCAGGAGCTTTAAAGCTGTGAAATTTTAAAAAATATATCACAGATTCTCTGTCACGATATATTATAAAAGTGAGTGTCCTTTATTTACAAATTTACAAATTTAGTAAATGTGTAATGCCATCACAAATCTTATGATTATGGAAGTTCCTGCTCTTGTAAAACAAAAACAATCAGTGTGAGTCAAAATGGGAAGTTAACTGAGTAGTTCTAAAAAGGGAAGAGTTCTGGAAGTAATAAATAAATCTTAAAGCACTGAAGAAAGGAGTATCGATGCATTAAATAAGATGTGTATGGAAAACTGGAAATAGTCAAGAGTGGCACACAACTGTAAACATCCACCCTGCAAAGAAAGGATAGCTGAATGATTGATCAAATTACCAGGTCTATTTCTCATGTATGCTTTGATCATCCACAGAAAAAAAGAAAGAAAAGAAAACAAAAAGAGAGAGAAGAGGATAGAATTAGAATTGGCACCAACATGTGGTAGAATGAGTTCAACTGACTTGAATTGAGCCGCTTTGAATTGAACTGCATTGAATAAAATTGAATTGAGGGATTTGTACTAATTGTGAATAGCTGGCTGTGTGGGGGAGTGGCTGGGTGACTAGCCAGGAGCTTTATACTAAAGCCAACTATGCAAGATCACTGCAGAGTAAGTGGAAAAATAAAATGAGGTTTCGCTCGTAACAAGAATTGTATATTATGACAATAAAGTATAATCGTCAGACTAGGAGAAGAAAAAGCTATTTAGAGAGAAGGGAAAAAAAGTTGATACAAACAGATTCCATAAATCAAAGAAAACGAGGACAGAAAAGACATATAGGGATGAGAACTGTTGAAACAGAAATCTATTGAAAGATTTAACGTATTATTTATTATTAGATTTCACTATTTTCTAATTCATGGATATTACCAACTCTAAGTTGAAAGGGCTATTTTTTCTTACAACAGTTGAATGCGACACACAAATCCTCATTCTCAAATGAGAGGAGTCACTAAGGAAGGAATTGTCCACTGATAGCTCTTGAGCAATGGCAGAGCACCTCTGAGTGATCACATTGAAGCTGACAATGTCCCATGTGCTTTCTTTATAGCTTCACATTCACTATTGTTATCAAACCAAACTGGAGTCTGCAAGCCCAGCCCAGGAAGAGCAGATATTCATACCAAGGTTTGCAGTGGGAAAAGGAAGGTGTTTAATTGCAAGGCGTCAAGCTGGGAAAATTGGGCAGCTCATGCTTAAGACTTGAGCTCCCAGATGGCTTACAGGTAAGGATTTTTAAATGTGGGGGAGAGGGGAGGCAGAGGTTACAGGCAAAGTAATAAATTGACACATGAAGGTTACATTGGCTTGACCTAAAAAGGAAGGACATCTAGAAGTGGAGGCCCACAGATCATAAGTGGATTCAAAGATTGTCCAATTTTAATTGGTTAAGGAATCAAGATTTGTCTAAAAATTTGAGATAAGCAGAAAAGAATGTTAGCTTCGGCTCATGGGCATGACCTCATCCATGACTCTCAGGAAGAAATTCAGAACAAAGAACTGTGGTCAGAGTTTGGTCTTCAGCTTCCCCCATCTGAGGTCTATGTGCCAATAGATCCATTTGGTGTCGGTCTGAGTTTCTGAAGACAACACATGGACATCTATGTTAAGATGCTTTCTTTTGTTTCTTTCTTTCTTTCTTTCTTTGAGACAGAGTCTTGCTCTGTTGCCCAGGCTGGAGTCCAGTGGTGCAATCTCCGCTCACTTTAACCTCTGCCTTCTGTGTTCAAGCAATTCTCCTGCCTCAGCCTCTGGAGTAACTGGGATTACAGGTGTGCGCCAACATGTGCGGCTAATTTTTGTATTTTTAGTAGAGATGGGGTTTCACCATGTTGGCCAGGCTGGTCTTGAACTCCTGACCTCCAGTGATTCACCCATCTCAGCCTCCCACAGTTCTGGGATTACAGGCATAAGCCCACCACGTCTGGCTGCTTTCTTTAGTTTCTATAAGGAACACAACATTCGTGTGATTTTAACTCTGTATTAAGCTACTATTACCTTCCTGCTTATCAAGTTGCTGTTTTAGGTCTCAAGGCTAGCTAAGTGCCTGGAATTTCTCTTTAAGAAACTTCAGATTTTCCTTTATTTCTATGCTTGGAGGCCTCACAGATCCCTAAGAGCTACATCCCTACTGCTCCATGCATTTCACTATCTTCCTAAATGCAGAAGAATAAGGATTATGAAAATCTGAGTTAACTGTCTCATGGGTGTTAACTAGGAGCAAAGCATATTTGCTTAGAAATTTCTTCTAAGCAAATTTCATTATAACAAACGGTCTCTCAGACCACAGTGAAATCAAATTAGAACTCAGGATTAAGAAACTCACTCAAAACCACACAAATACATGGAAACCAAACAACCTGCTCCTGAATGACTACTGGGTAAATAACGAAATTAAGGCGTAAATAAAGATGTTCTTTAAAACAAACAAACAAACAAAATTTCTTCCACCAGTTAATCTTAAATCATCTCCCTCAAGTTCAAAGTTCCACATATCTCTAGGGCAGGGACAAAACGCTGCCAGTCTCTTCGCTAAAAGATAACAAGAGTCACCTTTGCTCCAGTTCCCAACAAGTTCCTCATTTCCATCTGAGTCCACCTCAGCCTGGATTTCATTGTCCATATTATTATCAGTATTTTGGTCAAAGCCATTCAACAAGTCTTTAGGGTATTCCATACTTTTCCACCTTTTTCTGTCTTCTTTTGAACCCTCCAAACTGTTTCAACCTCTGCCCGTTACCCAGTTCCAAAGCCAATTACATATTTTTGGGTATCTTTTCAGCAGTGCCCCATTCCCAGTGTCAATTTACTGTATTAGTCTGTTTTCATGCTGTTGATAAAAACATACCCGAGACTGGGCAATTTACAAAAGAAAGAGGTTTAATGGACTCACAGTTCCACATGGCTGGAGAGGCCTCACCATCATGGCAGAAGGTGAAAGTCATGTCTCACGTGGTGGCAGACAAGAGAAGAGAACTTGTTCAGGGAAACACCCTTTATAAAACCATTAGATCTTGTGAGACTTACTCACTATCATAAGAATACCACAGAAAAGACACACCTTCATGATTCAACTGTCTCCCACTGGGTCCCTTCCACAACACATGGGAATTATAGAAATTCAAGATGAGATTTGGGTGGGGACACAGCCAAACCATATCACCTTGGAAGACAACCTATGCAGTACCATTCAGGACATAGGAACGGGTGAAGATTTCATGATGGAGACAAAAGCAATTTTGCAACAAAAGCAAACTTGACAAATGGGATCTAATTAAACTAAAAAGCTTCTGCACAGCAAAGGACACTGTCAAAAGTGAAACACACAGCTGATAAAATGGGAGAAAATTCTTGCAAAATGTGCATTTAACAAAGATCTAATATCCAACATCTATAAGGAACTTAAATCTACAGGAGAAAAATCAAACCACCCCATTACAAAGTGGGCAAAGAACATGAACAGACACTTTTCAAAAGAAGACATACATGTGACCAACAATCATTAAAAAAAAAAAGCCCAATATCACTGATTATTAGAAAAATGCAAATCAAAACCACAATGAGATACTATCTCCTGCCAGTCAGAATGGCTATTATTAAAAAATCAGAAACTAACAGATGCTAGCAAGGTTTCAGAGTAAAAAGAATGCTTACACACTGTTGGTGGATGTGTAAATTAGTTCAATAATTGTGGAAGATTGTGGCAATTCATCTAAGAACTAAAAACAGAAAAACCCTTCAACTCAGCAATCCCACTACTAGGTACATGCCCAGAGGAATATAAATTGTTCTATTATAGACACTTGGACATGTATGTTCATTGCAGCACTACTCACAATAGCAAAGACATGGAATCAACCAAAATGTCCATCAATGATAGACTAAATTAAAAAAATGTGATACATATGCACTATGGAATACTATGCAGCCACAAAAAGAATGACATTTTGTCCTTCGCAGAAACATGGATGGAACTGGAGGCCATAATCTTTAGCAAACTAATGCAGGAATAGAAAATCAAATACTGCATGTTCTCACTTATAAGTGGGAGCTAAATGATGAGAACACATGGACACTTTGAGGGAAACACAGTGTGGTCTATCAGAGGATAGAAAGTGGGAAGAGAGAGAGGAACAGGAAAATTAATTAATGGGTACTAGGCTTAATAGCTGAGTGATGAAGTAACCTGTACAAAACCCCCCTGTGACACAAGTTTATCTGTATAACAAACCTGCACATGTACCCCTGAACTTAAAAATCTTGGTTTTGTCACAACTCTGAGTGGCATCAACATATTTCCAAACTAGGAGTGCAGTGGCGCGATCTCGACTCACTGAAAGCTCCACCTCCCGGGTTCACGCCGTTCTCCTGCCTCAGCCTTCCAAGTAGCTGGGACTACAGGCACCCGCCACCTCGCCCGGCTAATTTTTTTGTATTTTTAGTAGAGACGGGGTTTCACCGTATTATCCACGATGGTCTCGATCTCCTGACCTCGTGATCCGCCCACCTCGGCTTCCCAAAGTGCTGGGATTACAGGCGTGAGCCACAGCGCCCAGCAGACTCATTTTTTAACTGTAATTTGAGAGGTATAAATTACAATGATTTCTTCCTATTTTAGCTCAAACATTCTCTACATCGCATTATCTTTTGTGTCTTTTTTTGCTCACGAATTATTTCCATTGTTATACTGGTAGCAAAATTAATATTAATGCCGCTTATGTATAATATAAATAACTGGTTCCTAGAATATAAAAAACAGTAATGTATTAGGAAGATAAGCATATCCTAATATAAAATATTTTTGATTGAAGGATTCTAATAACTTGCAGCAAACAAAATATTTTGATCCATTTTGCAGTTTTAAATCATTCATGAAATATTAGCAGAATTGCAAATATATGACACTTAAGTATCAGTCACAGAGACTGCCATCTATGACTGTGTTCAAAATCCAGTCCATTGGTCATCTTTGTAAACAAAGTTTTATTGGAACACTACTACATCCATTTGTTTATGAATTGCTTATATCTACTTTTGCTCTATTATGGCAGAGTTGACTAGCTGTGAGAGAGGCCTTATGGTCTTATGGTCGCACAGACTTAAATATACAACCTGATCTTTTACAAAAAAAATTTGCCTATCTTTATTTTATTTGTGAAATAAAATACACCACCATCATTGTTACTACAATGGGTCATTTTTATTTTAGGATAAAAAGTACAAATAGTTACTGAATATAAAGGCTACATGGGAAAAGAATACATCATGGTGTAATTTGATAAAATAGACATTAAAAAATTTTGGAACTTTCACCTTGCTTAGTATTTGCTCTGTTTTCTACCCTAAGCAAGTACTGCAGCTGCAAACTCAATCAACGTATTAGCCTTCGCGAAGTAACTTTGTAGGTTTCCCCTTCTTGGTGCATTGTTATAATTATATGCATTAAATACCTTAGAGATTTATCAGTCTTAAAATCATAGATTATTTATAAATCTTTGCTTTGTTGTATTTTCTTTGGTATTGCCCCTTACATTTTATTTTAAAGAAAATGAAGTAGTAAAAATTATTTTATTAAAAGTAAATCTAATTGGAGACACTTTTCTACTTTAAAAATAAAATATTTAAGGCTTGCTCGGGTTCAAATTCTGTTCTTAACAGTAAAGTAAGAAGTGGTGCATTTGTGTTTCTGTGACCCAGTGTCTCTGCCGGGGATCTGGGGTCTGGTAGAAATGAGTTAATGAACAGAAAGGGAAAGTCCAAAGGGAGAAATTTCCCAGGCACATGGCAAGCCCTGGAAATCATGGGCATAATACTTTCAGAAAATCCAGTGTAGTGTTCTCCCTAAGGCCATAATGAAGTAAAATATTTTAAAGATACATTTATTGCTATCATCTGCAGAAAAAAAGCAATGGTCTTGTAAGGAATATGGGGCCCATGAAGAATTATGCAGCAAAATTTGGGTATATAATTACATTTTTTAATCTTTAAAAATACAAGATACTTTAAATTGAGCATGAATCTTTATTATGCTGTAATTTATAAGTGTACATTTTGCTACTAATATTTTTTACCTTTGTGCTTAACTTTCTCAATTCTTTTTTCCTTAACTTTAGTGTTGACACATGAGATGTCAAATATCAAAAAGCCTATACTTAAATCTGACGGTGCATTTATATGCACTTAAGTGTGTTTATCTAGAAAGTCCTTAAAACTCACTGATTTCTAC